CTGCTACGTTATACTGCAAACTCATGTTTAATTTACTGTTCACAGTGGTATACATTATTGTTGGTAGGTTATTTTTTTTATTTTAATCTTACAGAGTTTTAAAAAATCATAATTTTAAAGCAAAAATATTCATTTCACTTGGAATTCAGGCATACCATGAAAGTGAACCTCATGGGCTATAGTATTTATAAAAACTAATATACAGTAGAGTATATTAAGGCATCACAGAAAATAGGATTATTACATTAATGATTAATATTCAAAAATATAAATGGCATAATACTCTGTTAAGAGGTGCCAGAGGTACCACTTCAGCTTGCGCTTCTTCATGGTCATCAGGAGCTCTTCATATGACCCAGCGCATTGGGTGATGATGTTGCGGACCTCTTCATTAGTAACATGGTTGAAATAAGAGATGCCCAGGATTTTACAGAAGTATCTCATCTCTACCACCTCTGTTTTCCATTCAAGTTTTGCCGTAAGGGTCCTTGTCTCGCACACATACAGAAAAATGGTGATGACCAATGCATGCAGCAGTTTCAGTTTGGATTCCAGGGAGATGTTCTTATTCCGCCAAATTGGATTTAGCTTTGCCACTGCTGCTGCTGTTTGTGCAATTCTTGCCCGAATTTCTGCCTTGATTCCTTCATCAGTGATGATTGCTCCCAAATACTTGAACTGTTTCACTGTCTCCAGCTCTTGTCTACTGACAGTGATATGTGAGCTGATCCCATCACATTTGTTTGTCACCAGATTAGTTTTCTCTGCACAGATTTCCATGCCATATTTTGTGGAGGTTTCATCCAATCATTTCCAGGCCATCAATGTCATCAGCGAACCTAAGATTTGAGATTGTTCGCCCCCACAATGCTGACTGTGCGTTTGTGATCTTCTAGGGTATCAGTCATTATGCACTCCAATTAGAGGTTGAACAGGGTGGGCGAAAGAAGGCAGCCTTGCTGGACTCCAACAGTGGTGCGAAACCACTCTCCTATTGTGCCATTGACGAGAACTGCACTGCTGGCCTTGGCTTACAGTTGTTTAATGGTAAGAATAAGCTTACGACCAACATTGTACTTCTTCATGGTTGCCCAGATAGCTTCGTACCATACTCTGTCAAATGTCTTCTTGAAGTCAACAAAGACGTGGTAAATGTCCTGCTGGTGTTGTAAGAACTTCTCACATAGAACACGAAGGTTGAAAATCTGTTCTGTGGTACTTCTTCCAGCATGAAAGCCAGCCTGTTCTTCAGCGATGATATTGTCTGCTTGTGGCTTCAATCTGTTCAATATGACTTTCAACATCACTTTGCTGGGATGGCTAACTAAGCTTATGATCTGGTAATTTTCACACAATTGCAGGTTGCCTTTCTTTGGCAGAGTTATGATTAGTGACTGTGTCCGTGTGGAGGGCCACTCATCGTTCTGCCAGATCTTGTTGCAGATCTTGGTGAGTACATCTATTACTCTTTGTCCTCCAAATTTCATCAATTCAGCTGGGATGTTGTCAATATCTGTAGTCTTTCCATTTCACAGTTGTCTCAAAGTCATCCTCCTCTGTTGAATCTGGGCTGTCTAAGACACTAGGATCTCCATTTGTCTGGTGGTTGTATAGATCAGAGCAGTAGTTTGTCCACCTATTGATGATGTCCCTTTCTTCTGTAAGACTGTTCCCTTCTTTGTCTTGAATTGTGTTAGCTTTGGTCCCTCTTTCCTTCATCAGATCTTTTACAACCTGGAAGGTTCATTTGCTATTTTTATTAGTGATATACTCTTCAATTTTAGAGCATTGTTTTTCAATCCATATCTCCTTGGGCACCTTCATTCCTTTCTTGATCTTTCTGCTAATCGCTCTGTACTTATCAGCTCCCTCAGTGCTGTTCTTGTCTCTCTTATGTTCTCTTCTAATGTCACACATTTGTAGTATTTCATTTGTGACCCATGGTTTTGTCTTCTTACGATGTTTCCCAAGTTTGTCCTTTGCTGCCTCCTTCATTAGAGCATTGAAATTGTTGGTCATTGTTTCTAGTCTTCCTCTAGAGCAAGCAGCAGGGCAAATTTTCCGCCAATCATTGTTTGGAATGACTCTGCAATGTTTCGGTCTCTGAGTCTTTCCAAGTCAAACTTGGTTCTGGTGAACGCTGGGCTGACGATTTTCCTTAGCCGCGGCCAAAAATTTAATATCACAAGATCATGATCACTTCCAATATCAGCACCAGGAAAGCTCCTTGTTTTAGATCTGTTAATCCCAGAACAAAATCAGTTTTGCACCATGATGTAGTCGATCTGGCTGTGATGTATACCATTAGGTGCATGCCATTTTGATCGTCTGGCTGCTTTATGTGCTCCTAATTTGTTTGCAAGAACCAGATTGTTATAGCTAGCAAACTCCAAAAGTCTCAATTCTCTCTCACTGGTTACCGTATTACAGAAAGGGCCACAATAATTTCGCCAATTTGCCTGTGCATCAGTACCCACTTTAGCATATCTTTCTTGTTTGTTTACATTTGCACAGCCACCCGCAGCTACCAGGGGCCACAGTTCACTGTTCCGGCCAATGGGAGCTGCGGGAAGCAGTGTGGGCTGCAGGGATGTGCTGGCTGCCGCTTCCCACAGCTCCAATTGACCAGGAATGGCAAACCCCGGCCACTGGTAGCTGCGGGCAGCCGTGAAAATGTAAAACTGTCTCGTGGCCCACCAGCGGATTACTCTGACAGGCTGGTTCTGGGAGTGGTATGGGGCCGAGACAGGCAGGGAGCCTGCCTTAGCAGCAGCCGCGCTGCACCACGCGGCCAGACTGTGATCGACTGGGAGAGTCTTCAGGATTGACCGGTTGGTGACCACTAATCTAGCAATAGTAGGCCCTGATTCTGCAAGAGACCGCATGTGTGTGGGCCAATGCAGAAATCCTTTGATGTTAGCAGGGCTCCATGAAAGTGCAGGGGACTAGCTGTGCATTTACATGCAGATTGTGCCTTAGTCTATATGTTTTATAAATAATGATTCAATAAAATATCTTTTGAGGATTATTATTTTTAAATTGTAATAACAGTTATGAAAGAAGGAAAGTTGGCTATGTAAAGCTGTTACGTTTACAGTAATGCTAGAGATCACAAGAAACAGGAGCCCCAAAGTCCTTCTAAATTACTATTTTTGTTGGTCTATATTAATGCAGCACAGCAGGTATTGTGCACAGCTGCTAGTCAAGAGGGATTTTTTCTTTGTTTGCTTGTGGATGTTATATATAGTAGCTATAAGCTCAACAGAATCCCTTACAGATTTTTTTTAAAGTTCCAGTGCTTTAATATTTGTCAGGATTCGTAGCTGTTTCCATTACAAACTGTCTCAGTTGCTATTTGATTTCAAGGCTAACTACAAGTTAAACATAAAATAAAACAGTGCTTTCCACTTGAAATGAATGTAGTTAGTAAGTAGAGACAACCATTAGCATGGGCAAAAATATGATTTAACCAAAAATATTAAGTTACATACATTTTCCTCTTATCATCACAGTATGAACTTTGATCTAATGGACATTTGGGATTATTACTAGTACTGTGAAGAGGCAAACAGGCTGGGTACTGGAGAGATATGACAGTGGAACTAAAGGAATGTTTGCTTCAATATGATTTCCACAGAGCTGTAGAAATGTTCTTATAGGGAAGCTGCACTAGTTTTGCCAAGCACAGCACTCTGAAAATTCACAGGGTGAGAGGAATCTCACAGCACATATAGTCTGTGAATTGGATTTGAAAATAACTTTCCCCCCAGAAAACTCAGCATTTCTGAACCTTTTGTTGGTAGCCACACCTGGAATTCCTTGCTGAGTGAATGTGTGAAACATTCCTTCAAATGACTGTCTTACAAGTAGCATGTCAAAAATGAGGGAGAGGGACATGTATTGTGGAAAATTATGGATCACTGTGGATGGTAATAACTCAGGCACTGAGGTAGAGTTGATGTGTATTTATTTAAGGCAAAAGTATATAAATGTATGTTTTAAAAGTACACATATTTCCATTGCATCAATCTTCTTCACCCCTTTTTGTATTGCTTGTTTGTTTAGGGTCCGATCCTGCAAATGCTTATACATGTGCTTAACTTATTTAATATGAGTGGTCCTGTTGGCTTCAATAAGACTGCTCATATGCTAATCTTTAAACTCATGCAAACAAGCATATAGGATTGGAGCATCTTGTCTTGATCCTGCAGGATGTAGAACATTCATCTGGGGTGTGAAACACCATCAAGTCCCATTGAAATAGGTGAGTAAGGATGACATTCCACACATCACACACTGCAGAACTTGCAGAATCAAACCCTTAGGTTGTATGCTCTCTGGGGCTAAGAAAGCTTTCAGGTTTAATATGCACAGTATGAATAAGAACATAAGAACGGCCATCCTGGGTCAGAACAATGGTCCATGTAGTCCAGCATCCTGTCTTCCAAAAGTGGCGGGTGCCAGATTCTTTACAATAGCTCAGGTGTGGAAATTACTCTCACATCCTCAGTAGCAAAGACCAATGCAAAGAATTTGTTTAGATTCTCCTCAATAGCCTTGTCTTCCTTTAGCACTTTGATCTTCCAGCACCGTGGCAAGCTTCCTCTTTCTGATGTATTTGAAAAAATGCTGCTAGTTTTTGGCTTTTGCTAGTTGCTCTGCATATTCTTTTTTGGCCTGCCCAACTGTATTTGTACATTTGACTTGCCAGATCTATGCTCTTTTAAAATATTAACTAATTACATTTCACAGCATCTCTTTGAGGTAGATAGATAGTGGGTTATTTGTACCCACTTTACACATGGTGAAAGAGAGGCACAAAGGGTTAAGTGGTATGACCAGGCTCACACGGACAGTCTGTGGCAGAACTGAAAATAGAACAAGATATCTCAGGGCAGACAGGAGAAAACAAAAAGGAAAGCAGCTTTTATGGAACTACTGTGGTTTTTAATGTAGTGGGGATGAGAAGGGGATTCCATATCAAGTGGCATCTTACGGAGATGGTCAGCCTTAGGCACACTATTGAACTAAATCTCCCTCAGGTCCCATATACATCATTTACCTTCAACTCCATATGGACCTTTCTTAAGCCTGTGGCTGAAACTCTATCCTTGAGTATGTCTGCCAGAGTCACTTTACAGCTCTCGTCAAGGCTTGGTGCAAGGTCTTTTTAATGAAGTCATTTTTTCATGGACCATTTTGGCCTCCCATGTTTTAGCTTCTTCTTTCCAGTTTTTGTCTTTTCTCCATTATCTTATGTTTGGCAGACAACAGAGGAAAGGGGGAAGAATGGCAGGACTCTTTGCTGGACTATAAGACAAAGGTAAGTTTTAACTATTATAATAAGTTGTGTACAATGTCCTAGATATCTTGTGATGGGAGCTATAGAAACTGATAAAAAAATTAAGGTTGAGATTTTCAAAGCTGATGTTTAGCCACACAACCTCTATTAATTTCAAGAGGAGTTGTATGACTAAATCTCTGCTGGCTTTGAAAATCAATCCAAATTATGTTTTAATTCAACTGTTTTTATCTGTTTTTCAAGGAATCAAATCAACACCAAACTAAAACAAAGAGAAAAACAATTAAGGTCCTCCTAGAAAACCAATACCTTTATTCAGACAGAGTCCTCCTCCTGCAATACGTAGATGACTTACTAATTGCTGCTGTGGGTCTGATCCCTTGTCTCAAAAACAAGGGGAGACTTAGCGTGTGGGTACTGCCAGGGCACAGCACCCCGAGCAAGGGGCACCGGGGTCCTGCGAGGGACACGGGGTCCAGAAGAAGAGGACAAGGCGGATCACCAGCATGCAGAGGGCGCTACAAGGCTGTGAGAGCTAACTCCCTGGACGATCAGCAGGAGGCACTGCAGGGGTGAGTCTGCTCCTCTACTTGATCCCAGAGTATGGACTGTGGGCTAAACCTCTGTATGAATGTGTTAAAGGAGCGGATCATGACCCCTTTCACTGGTCCCCAGAAGCGGACAGGGCATTTAAAATCTTGAAAAGGAAGTTGATGGAAGCCCCAGCCCTGGGTCTGCCAGATCTTTCTAAGCCGTTCCAACTGTATGTGCATAAAAGAAAAGGGTAGCCCTGGGAATGCTTACTCAGTTATTAGGCACCTGGAAACGTCCTGTGGCATATTTCTCTAAACAACTGGATTAAGTTGCAAAGGGGTGGCCAGGATGCTTGAGGGCGGTCACAGCCACTGCCCTAGTGCTTGGGGAAGCTGAAAAACTGACACTGGGAGGAACTGTGCAAGTGTATATTCCCCATATGGTCCAAGCCCTGCTGGACACTAAGGGCAGGTCTTCACTACGGGGGGGGGGGGGGTCGATTTAAGATACACAAATTCAGCTATGCGAATAGCGTAGCTGAATTCGACGTATCGCAGCCGACTTACCCCACTGTAGGGATGGCGGCAAAATCGACCTCTGCGGCTTCCCGTCGACGGCACTTACTCCCACCTCCGCTGGTGGAGTAAGAGCGTTGATTCGGGGATCGATTGTCACATCCCAATGGGACGCGATAAATTGATCCCCGAGAGGTCGATTTCTACCCGCCGATTCAGGCGGGTAGTGTAGACTTAGCCTAAGGGTGGTCTCTGGCTCACACAGGCTCGGGTTGCTCAGTACCAGGCGAAACTGTTAGAGAACCCTGAAGTTACCCTGCAAACCTGTCCCTCCCTTACTCCAGCTACCCTGCTAACAGAAAAGCAGGAACATGACTATCTGGAAATCATAGATGCCCAATACTCCATCCGCCCAGATTTAAGATCAACCACTCCCAAATGCTGACTTGGAATGGTATACCGATGGCAGTAGTGCCGTTGTGGATAGGCAAAGGAGGGCGGGTTATGCTATTATGACCCTTCATGATACCGTGGAAGCTGAGAATTTACCTGCTGGGACATCTGCCCAACTTGCTGAACTAGTGGCCCTGATTCATGCACTTGAGCTGGCAAAAGACAAATGGGTTAATATCTTTACTGATTCAAAGTATGCTTTTGGTGTATTGCATGCTCACGCTGGTCTGTGGAAGCAAAGAGGAATGTTAACAGCCCAAGGCTCCCCGGTTAAGCCTGGGTCTCAAATTAGAAGCGGTATAACTCCCCTCAGCAATAGCAGTGGTGCATTGCAGAGCCCATCAAAAGGAAGATCAAGATGTAACCAAGGGCAATGCCAGAGCAGACAGGGAAGCCAAGCGCGCTGCTACCCTGAAATCACCAACAGAGGAGAATGCCCAAATGCATGCCCTCATCCCATTAGTAGGTGAGCTTGCAGCTCCTCAGTACTCCCATGATGACAGAAACCTGGCTGACAGGCTCGGTCTCCAGGAAAAGGAGGGATGGCTTTATTCCACAGAGGGAAAAATCCTCCTGCCCAAGGGCCTGATCTGACCAGTGTTGCAAAAACTGCATCAAACCACCCACGCAGGCAGAGGCTCTTACCCAGCTTATGAATAAATATTTTCTAACCTCTGGACTTAAACCCCTAGCATCACAGGTACAGGCTGGATGTTTAATCTGCCAAAAGAATAACCCTCGACCAGGAGTAGCAGTGTTGCCAGCCACTCTGGAACCTACCCCAGGCCCAGGATTGGTGTGGCAAATAGACTTTACTGAGTTTCCCTGGACTCAAGGGTACAGGTACCTCCTCGTCTTGGTGGATCGATTCAGCGGATGGCCCGAAGCCTTCCCATGTCGGAACAACACTGCCAAAACGGTGGCTCTTAAGTTTGTCAAGGAGATCATTCCTCGCTTTGGACTCCCCCGGTGGATAGAATCTGATAACGGAACACACTTCACATCTCAAGTTGTTCAAAAGATATCAAGTGCCTTGCAAATCCCCTGGAAGCTCCACACACCATGGCGACCACAAGCCAGTGGAGTAGTGGAACGCACAAATCAGACACTCAAGCGACACCTCTCAAACGTCTGTCAGGAGGCCTCTCTTAGGTGGCCTGATGCTTTGCCCCTTGTGTTACTCCGCATTCGTGCTCTCCCCAAGGGCAGGTTAGGGCTTAGTCCCTTCGAGATTATGTTTGGAAGGGCATGGCCTCTGAACAGTACACCGGTTCCGGCAGGAGAGTGGGAAATGGGGTGTGGTTTCTTGTCTCAGTACATGTGCTCTCTGTCTGCTGTTCTTTCTTCTCTTCACAGATACACCAAAGATTCACAGCCTTTTCTGCTGGATGCCCCTGTCCACTCCTTACAGCCTGGTGACTCCGTTCTCATTCGGACCTGGAAGGATGAGCCTCTCCATGAGAAGAGGAAGGGACCCCACACCGTCCTGCTGGTCTCACACATGGCAGCAAAAGTCAAAGGACACAAGAACTGGATTCATCACTCTCAACTGAAAGCAGTACACACTCCTGAACAGTGGACTGTCCAGCCTGCAGAAAAGACTGCCAGCAACGATTTGGGACTTAAGCTGTTATTCAAAAGACAGTAAGAGTAGCTGGGAATGCCTGGTGATCTCTTTGAACAGCCAAAGCGCACTCCCAGCGAGAACCCTGAGCATTGGTTCGATCTATTCACAGAAGGCCGACCTAGCCTATGGTCCTGGTCCTTTTATTTTTTTATTTGTTTGGTGTCAGTGATTCTTATCTTCTGGGCATTTGGGTTGTTGTAATTACAATATGGGTTCAGGTTTAAGGTCTCTCACAACATTCCATTTTGTCACAGAAGCAATCCTTCTGTTACCTGTTTCACCCACATAGCATGCAGGATGGGGAGCCATCCCTGCAGACATGGCTACCAATACCAATGAGGCCCTGAAAATTGCCTTTGCCCCTGAGTTCAATCTCTCCACTGTTGAATATGTGTCCAGACTCCCCACCATTCGACTGGATTGCGCTGGAGAGTAGTTCCCCAAAATTGGTCAGTCTTTTGTCAAAGGTGGATGGTTACCAGCAGCAGCACCTCTGACAATTTAAGTTTGCGATCCAACTGTACTGCGGAAGCTCCTTATGGCCTACACAATAGCTCTTGGAATTCCCACTATAGTAGCACTCTTAAGCCCCAGCCCATTCCTCTACGCTCTCCACCCACTGGTCTCATATGTTTTCGGCAAGCCAGTACAAGTAATCATACCTGGTTTGCCAGCGTTAGTAAATGTAGATTTTATATTGGTCCTGGTATAAGTCTCACTGTTCCTGTACTAAATGCCACCGGTTGGCAAACTGGTCCTCAGATTCGTGAACTTCTTCGAGATGATGCATCTGACCATGCACTACGTGGCAAGGAAAAGACGGCATGGAAAGCCTTCCAGTTAGTGGAAATACATTTTCTCAGAAACAATAAGGCAGACAACTACAGGTTGTTGGTGGAAAACCTCCTCAAGGCATACAAAAGCCTTGGTTGCAACATGCCACTAAAGACATTTTTTTGCACTTTCATCTAGATTTTTTCCACTGAACTGCGGAGCAGTGAGCGACGAGCATGGCGAGCGATTTCACCAGGACATTGCAACAATGGAGAAACGCTATCAGGGCAAATGGAGCCCATCAATGCTTGCAGACTATTGCTGGACAGTGACAAGAGGTGCTCCATTTAATGAATACAAGAGACAAGCCAAGAAGCGCCGAGTAGACATTGAATAGGACTAAACTATGTACATAATAATTTTTTGCCTTTTGTTTCATAATACATTGTATTTATATAACCCTTTTGCTGATTTTCAAAGTATTACATAAACAGGACAGGTGAAATATTATCATGTAAAGCAACCATAAACACATGAAAAGACCTAGGTTTACAATTTATGATTAAAACTCTACTATCTACACAATATAAATAGACATAAAATGTAAAAACTTAAATATCTTAGAAACAGTAGCCAATCAGTTGTTTTAATTGTCATATTTGAATTCAGCACATCAAAATACATAATAAATAGCACATTTTATCTCTGAAGCAGACGACTTCTCAAAAATTGTAGACCAGTGCAATCACTACTGCTACCTAGGGTGATTATAGACACATACATATGTACAGCAGCTGGTAAACCTGTCTGAAAAAAATATCAAGAAGGAACTAGCTGTCAACATTCTACAATTTTCTTTTTCAAAAGATGACAAAAATGCCTGCTAGGTTTAGTGTTTTATTTGTTTTTGGGGAACATGCAAAAAGAAACCCATTATTTTTTTGTTCAGTACTACACATCCTTCAGTAAAAGGATTCATTGGGGACAATGTCACAAATAAATCATTTTGAAAGAAATCAGCTCAGTCTTTAGAGCAAAACTTCAAATATTCATATTATAAATACAATAATGGTGCAAAAACTCTAATTCTTAAATACTATAGAAAAGTGTAGTGTTTATTTTTAATAAAATAAGTGTACAAATAATCATGTAGGGCCACATTCTGATATCCATACTCTGGGTTATTATGATATTGTGACACTGTTATGACATCATGACATCCCATATCACACTTGTTCCATTTTCAAACACGAACCTTCATGCTTTTGTTATATCTTTGGGCGCAACAGTTTTAGGAAGAAATCACTGGAGACACAGAGAGCCGTAAACCTTGAAAGCAGCCATTTATTGCCACACACTGAACTAACCAAAAACCAGCCAAAACTGGCTGGGCTATCCTGTAATAATCTAACTCAGTTGCCATAGCAACACAAGATTATATTACCACGACAACCAAATACACAACATATTCCTCCCCCCTTAGTAAGAATGTCCCCTGAATAAAACAAACACTATACTAGAGAAGGAGGGTAGACTGCCTCCATTTCTGGCTAAACCCCGGGTATTATTTTGCCCCGTAACCGTGGGTTCACCCTAGCTAAAGATCCAGCCATTGAGGAGGCCTTCTGTCTCTAGGTGGATTACGGTGTTGTTGCACCCAAAAGTGTCTTGGGCGTGGACTGTGTAGGAAACAGGCCCTGTTTGCGCGATGACAGTGGCAGGGACCCATTTAGCTCCAGAAGTATAATTCCGAGCCAAAACCAGCTGTCCCAGGCTAAAGGTTCGGTCTTTTGCTCTGGGTCCATGCTTGATGACTTGATCTTGCTGCTGACCAACGTTGCACAATTTGTCAGAGTTCAGAAGGTTTCAGAAGATCAAAGCAAGTGCACAGCTGTCGTCCCATCATTAGAAAGGCCAGGGATACCTTGGTTGTAGCATGAGGTGTGTTTCTGTAGGATAGTAAGAAGGTATCCAGACACTTTTGAATGGATAATTGTCCCCTTGCCAATTTCAAAGCTTGTTTCATTGTTTGCACAGATCTTTCAGTTAATCCATTGGTGGATGGATGATATGGTGCTGAAGTGATGTGGTGTATCCCTTTTGCCTTCATAAAATTTTGAAACTCCTGATAGACGAACTGCAGTCCATTGTCGCTCACAAGTTGTTCTGGCAGATCGAAACGACTAAAGAGTCCTCATAGTTTTTGGATAGTATTCTCTGCAGCAGTGGACTGCATTACAGAGACTTCTGGCCATTTAGAATGGGCATCTACCACCACCAAGAACATGCTTCCTTCAAGGGGGCCAGCAAAGCCAACATGAATATGTTGCCACTGGTTTTCAGGCCTGTCCCATGGGTGTAGGGGTGCCCACTGGGGTGCATTCCTCACACCCTGACATGACATAAAAGCTTCTGCCTTTTCTTCAATAGCATTGTCCAATCCACACCACCAAAAATAGCTTCGTGCAATTTCCTTCATGTGCACTATTCCCCAGTGTAGCTGGTCAACATCTGTGATCTCAGTGGTGGAGGGATAATGGCACGTCTTCCCCACAACAAACAACCGGATTGGATCAATAACTCCATCCTCCTGGACAGATAGATAACAAGGTTGGGTGAGACCAGAGAAGTTCCTCAAGATGTTCCGTGCATCACCAGGTTCATAACTTGGGACAATACCGGGTCAACTCAAGTTGCCTTCTTTACCTGAGTAGCGGTGATGAGTGTATTCTCTACCTGTGCAAAGTAAAATATTTCCTTCTGGGCAATATCTTGATGTTTGACTGGCAAAGATAGCCTTGAGAGATCAACTGCATTGCTGTGCAGAGTTGATTTCTGATACTGGATTTCATATGTGTGTGCGGAAAGCAACAAAGTCCATCATTGTATATGACTAGCAGCTAATGGGGGAATGCCTGTGTGTGGTCCAAAAACTGAAATCAGAGTTCGATGGTCTGTGAGAAGAGTAAACTTCTGTCCGAACAGGTACTGATGAAACGTCCAAATTCCAAAAATGATTCCCAATGCCTCACATTCGATTTGGGCATAGTTAGTTTCTGCTTTGCTTAGAGTGCATGAAGCAAAAGCAATAGGTCTCTCTTCTCCCGAAGGCATAATATGTGACATGACTGCTCCCACTCCATAAAGGGATGCATCGCAGGCCAACTGTAAGGGTAAGGATGGATCAAAGTGTGTCAGAACTTCAGAATTTAACAATGCATCCTTAGCTTTGTTAAATGCAACATCACAGGCTTCAGTCAACTTCCAGGCCTTGTTCTGCCCAAGGAGTTTGTGAAGTGATTTTAGCAATGTGGCTAACTGTGAGATGAACTTGCCATAATAGTTCAATAATCCTAGAAATGAGCAAAGCTGGCTAACATTTCAACGTCGGGGAGCCTCCACAATAGCCTTAACTTTTGCAGGGGCCTTACAAAGACCTATAGTATCAATTACGTGTCCCAAATATTCAACAGAGGGCTGGAAGAATTCACACTTGTCTTTGCAGACTCGTAGGCCATACTCTTCCAGTCTTTGTAGGGTAGCCTCTAAATTCTTTAGGTGATCCTCCTCATTCCTTCCAGTGACCAGGATGTCTTCCAGATAGCACTGGACTCCTGGCAAGCCACACAAGATCTGGTCCATAGTCCTCTGGAATAGGGCGGGAGCAGACGTTATTCCAAAGGGTAGGCGACAGTATCAATAAAGCCCCTTATGTGTCACAATAGTCAACAGCTCTTGGGACTTTTCATCGATGTGCATCTGTAAATATGCTTGACTCATATCAATCTTACTGAACTTTTGTCCCCCAGCCAGGCCCGCGAAGAGGTCACCGATGCGGGGAAGCGGGTATTGCAACAGTGGGTTGATGGTGACTTTAAAATCACTGCAAATCTGGAGGGAGCCATCTTTCTTCACTATTGGAACAATAGGAGCTACCCAGGGGCTATGGGTAACTGGTATTAGGACTCCATTTGTGACTAGATGCTCCAGGTCTGCTTCGGCCTGATGGCATACGGCACAGTTCTGGCTTTCAGATATTTTGGTTGACTGTCAGGTTTAATATTCAATGTTACAGTAATTCCATTCATACTTCCCAGATCCTCTCCAAAAACAGCAGCATGTTTCCTTAGAATAGCGGGCAGACTGGATTCTTCTTTAATCATTCAGTGCACTTCTGCCCAGTTCAGCTGGATCTTCCTAAGCCAAGACCTACCCATTAAGGCTGGGTAATTACCTCTCACCACAAACAGTGGCAATTTAACAGTCTGTCCCTTGAGCTCCACCTTAACATCAGTAGTGCCCAACATGGGCACAGGTTCTCCCGTATATGTCTTCAGAACTGTTTTTGTTGCTTTAAGTGGAAGATGCTGTAGCTTTTCCTTATACACAGTCTCAGAGACCAGTGAGACAGCTGCACCGGTGTCCAGTTCCAAGCATATAGGTTTGCCGTCCAACAATGGGGTTACCCAGTATTCATGTGAGCCCACTGCCAAAGACAAAACGTGGAGTGGCTCTTCTTCTTGTGATGAGGTGTCTGCTTGGCCTGCTCTAGGATAAGCAGCTTTCTCTTTTTGGTCGGCCAGACCACAGGCCTCTTTTTCTTTTGTTTACAGGCACACTCAATGTGTCCCTTTTTGCCACAGTGTCAACACACCAGATCCTTACACCAGCATTCTGATGCATGGTGACCCGGCTTACCACAGGGGTAACATTCCTGACTCCCCCAGTTTTGTGGGTAGGTTCTTGTGACACTTTATGCACCCTAGGGGATGCACCAATGTATTGCACCTCCTTTGTAACCTGTTCCATGGAGACCGCAATGTCAATAGCCTTCTGTAAGGTAATCTGAGCCTCTGTCAATAGGCGCTTCTGTATAGCTTCACTGTGCAGGCCACACACTAACCTGTCACGTAGGGCATCATTTAGTATCTCCTTAAATTCACAGTGTTCTGCAAGCTTTCTCAAGGTTGCTACAAATTGTAAAACTGTTTCATCTTCTTTCTGGCCTCTTTTGTGGAACCTATATCTTTCAGCAATTACCAAAGGTTTTGGAGAGAAATGGGACCCCAGAATTTCCACAATGTCACTGTAAGATTTAATCTCTGGCTTAACAGGGTGCAGCAAGCTGCGTAGCAGGGAGTAGGTCTTAGCCGCTACAACACTTAAGAATCTTGGCATTTTCTTCTCTTCTGTAATGTCATTTGCAATAACAAAAAGCTCAAAACGCTGAGTATATACATGCCATTGCACTATAGTCTCCTCAAAAGGTTCCAGTGGCCCTGTAAGTGTAGCCATGATTTTAGTTTCAGTTTGCACAATCAGTGCAAACAAGCCAGTTCTCACTCCCTTCCAGCAGCAAAAAAAAATTTTTTTTTTGTACCTTAACTTCTACTCCCTTCTGTTGCTAGGGCAGCACAGATATCCCACCCTCGTTGCCATGTTGTTATATCCTTGGGGGCAACAGTTTTAAGAAGAAATCACTGGAGACACAGAGAGCCGTAAACCTTGAAAGCAGCCATTTATTGCCACACACTGAACTAACCAAAAACCAGCTAAAACTGGCTGGGCTATCCCCTAAAAATCTAACTCAGTTGCCATAGCAACACAAGATTCTATTACCAGGACAACCAAATACACAACAGCTTTCTCCTCTGCTATCCTTCACTCTTAGGAGGAGCGCCCCATAAGCATCTGTAAAACTGCCTCAATATCCTCTTCAAATCCCTGCTCAAAACTCCTTTGTCATTCTGCTTACCAAAAAAAAAAAAAAAAAAAATTGACAATGATTAGGCAGATGATGTGGTGAGACCACAGCCTACCATGCTGACCAATATTATCTCATTGTTTCCTTGTACTCTACTGTCTGTCTCTATCTATCTGTTGTCTCTTGTCTTATACTTACATTTTAAGCTTTTTGGGGCAGGGATCATATTTTTGGTGTTTGCATTTGTTTTGTTTTGTGTACAGCACCAATCACAATGGAATTCTGGTCCATAACTGGCACTTAAGTTATACAAGTTAATAGTATTGCTTTACAAATAATCCCATTGACTTCTGTGGGACTGCTCATGAAGGAAGCACAATTCAGTGTGAGAGAGGGTATTAGAATCTGACCCTTGCTACTTTGTGTTAAAAATTTTCCTTCCCATGTACCATGCTCATACATATGCTTTGTCTCTTGGGTAGGCCTCCATCACTGAAATAACTAGATGAAACCATCTGACCTCAATTAAATTAAATCCAAAAGCCCACATCATTACAATTAGTGAAACCTACTTCTGCATTTATTGTTGAATGAGTTCAATTATTCATTGTTCTTTTTCACATTTCATTATATTTAGGAGAAAATATATATGAAAGAAAAATTCTTAGTTCATAACCCATGTTATGGTTAGTGCAAGTGATTCAAAGCAATCAATAATAAAATAATAAACTTCACAGAATAAATTAACTTGTACAGGAAAGAAAGGAAAGGAGGAGTTAAAATATCAGATATGGATGTATTCTTCTCATTCTACCAGAATCATTAAGTCTTTACAGAACAAAGTTGTGATAAATTGGAGCGGGAGGGCACCAGTTAAAAGAGTGTTGATTTAACCTTTGATGATATAATCTTTGCTCTCTTCTCAGTTTCTGATGAGAATTCAATATTTGACTATTTCACCGTCACAATACCTATTTATCTGACTTGTCTATAAAGATCCTCTAAGACCAATCCCTTACTCTTTGATTCTACTGCTTTTATTGAGCAGTAGGCCTTTTTAACCTTTTTTCTCCCTACATATATGGTACCTCAATCCAAATATGCTGCCTTCCTGAGACTCCCCTACCTAACAAACAAAACACTCACCTGTTCATATTATAAATCTTTGAACTGTCTTTTAAATATACACACTTGACCAGATTGTCCCTTCCCACATGAAAAGCCCTGGGACAGGATATATTATGTGAAAAGCTCCATGATTAATGCATGCTAGATATTACCTGCTATACCCCATGGTATAATTCCTCCATAGGGTGATGTTCCAGGCCGGTGAGTTACCAGACAGCCATTGCATCCTGACCTCCATCCAGTGTCTGCTGAATCCTGCTGCACTTTGAAAGTAGTAGAACTATAGCCTCAGCCAATGCATTTTTCACGGGAGCCCTGATTGGAGGGTATCCTGGCTCTAGGACAGTGGTTTTCAAAAAAATTTCTGGAAACCCAGATAAAGAAAATTGTTGATGCCCATGACCCAACAGAGCTGGGGATGAGGGGTTTGGGGTGTGGGGGTGAGGGCTGTTGGGTGGGGCCTGGGATGAGGAGTTTGGGGTGCAGGAGGGGGCTTCAGGTTGTGGGAGCTCAGTGCTGGGGCAGGGAATTGGGGTGTGGGAGGGGGTCAGGGTTCTGGGCTGGGGGTGCAGGCTCTGGGGTGGGGCTGGGGATGAGGGATTTGGGGTGCAGGAAGGGGCTCTGGGTTTTGTGGGTGTCTCAGGGCTAGGGCAGGGGATTGGGGCGTTGGGTTGGGGCATGGGCTTACCTTGGCCAGCTCCTGGTCAGCAGCACAGTGGGGGGGCTAAGGGAGGCTTCCTGCCTGTCTTTGCACTGCGGACTGCACTGCACCCTGGAAGCGGCCTGCAGCAGGTCCTGCTCCTAGGCAGAGGAGTGCACAAAGGAATGCCCCTCCCCCAGCTTCCATTGGCCGGTTTACGGCCAATGGGAGTGCATAGCTGATGCTCTATATGGGGGCAGTGCATAGAGCCCCGTGCCACTTCCCCCCCCCCCACCTAGGAGCCGGACCTGCAGCTGGCTGCTTCTGGGGTGCTGCGCGGTGTCGGAACAGGTAGGCACTAGCCTGCCTTAGCTGGGCAGCACCGCCAACGGGACTTTTAATGGCCCAGTTGGCGGTGCTGACCAGAGCTGCCACAACCCAGTGCCATACATTCTGCGACCAGTACTGGGTTGCGACCTGCAGTTTGAAAACCACTGCTCTAGGTATACCATCAGGATTTATATGGACCAATGAATGCACAACACCCCCACAAGGCACATTACCTCATTGTGTAGACAATTTTGAGGCTTTCTTTGTAACCATTATAGATAAAGACTTACTTTAAAAACAAAGCGAGAAAGAAACCTGAAATTGTGGAGAACAAGATGACAGCTTCAGAAAGGTGTAAGTAGGTCATACTACTCTGTGCTTGACCAAACTGAGCCCTGGCATTTATTGCCTTTTTCACATAACCTCTGTGGGGCTAGAGGAGGATTTTTATTGACCAGCCACTCTCCACACAATGCCCTTCCCCTGCTTTGTATGCTCCAGGGACAGGCCCCTTGAACACAGCGGTCATATGGGTTATGTTACAACTCAAAGATCATTGCAATATGACTGTAGTGGGGTAGTCACCTCGCTCCTGCCTGAAGGGGATAAAGCAGCCCTGGAGAGGGCTGCAGTGCGGAAAGCTAGGCTGATTGGGGGTAAACAGCCACAGGTGGGGCCACACCCCAATCAAACCAAAGTTGGCCCTCTAAGAAGGCTGAGGGCCAGAGACTGAGACACTCTCTAGCTTCCTAGAGAGGGAAGGACTGGGCTGCCTGGGAAGCTGAGGAAGGTACCTAGGGTGGAGCAGTGCTGGAGAAGGGCAGAGGGAACTGGGGAGCTCTAGCCTAGCAAAGCCCCAGGCTGCACGCCAAGTTAAGGGCCCACAGAAGGGTACTAGGGCTGCAGAGGGGCAGCCCAGGAATAGGCAGAGGCAGCTGTCCAACCCCCCCTTGCCGATGATGAGTGGTTAACCGATTTCTGTCTGCCCCAGTGAGCGGGGGCTAAATGGAGACTGGCAGTAGCCACTAAGGCAAGGTGGGAATAGGGGGTTGGGGTTCCCCTGGGAGGGGAGACCCAGAGTGAGGGGGTACTGTGGTGGGCAGAACCCCTGGGCAAAGGGCACCGGGGTCCAAGAGGGACACGGGGCCAGCGGCAGGTGAGACACCGGCCTGCAGAGAATGCTCTGGGCTAGAAGAGCTAATTCCCAGGATGACCAGCAGGAGGCGCTGCATCTGTGAGTCATCGCCCCCGCCACAATGACTTTCAAGTATCTCAAATTTGACCTTTAAATGTTCAGAATTAGCTTGGGTACTCTAGATGCAAATTGGACCACTACGCTTGGATTTATATTTTCTGAACAATTCATTTAGGTTTACTGAGAATTCTGCTGGTATAGCTACATCAGAAGTGTGAAGAGTTGCATCTCTGAGCAATGTTGCTGTGCTGGCAGAAGTCCCTAATGTATATGCAGCTATATTGGCAAAGCTGCACTTTTACCAGTATAGCTTTTTTTGCTTGTGGGGAATGGTTTAACTGGCACAGAGCACAGCTTGGATGTTGTAGCTGCAGCTACACTAGGAGCAATCTATTTTACTGGCATTCTTATGCCAGTAAAGTGCTCCTACTGTAGACATTCCTCAAGTTTAAACAGGATAAAAACTCAGGTCCAAAGAGGCTTTTAAAAGGTTCAGATTATTATAGAAAATTACAACTAGTTTACTGTATTGTCATCCAATAAAACATACTATAAAATAATTTAGACCCTGTTTTATGCTAATTGGAGGTATTGCTTATGCCATTGTGATCTAAAATATACAGTGTGTGTATATATCTATACCTATATAATCTGTAGCTATATCTTTTCATTTACTTTGATAAAATATGTTCATGTTTTGTTAGATTTTTTTTACTAGTGCCTGTTTAATTTTCATCTAGATATTTGCCTCCAAATTAATCAATCCTGCACTGGCAAAGGGGACAAGATGTCTTAACAGATGTTTTCTTTAATATCTCTGATTCGAGTCATCCAAGTGGACTGTCCTGGAATTTACATAAGTAAGTTATAATACATTTTAAATACTGAAACACAGTTTCATAGACCACTTTTGGAAATCCCATCCTTTAAACTTAGATTTAAAATGGTATAAATTGACAGGTTTTACAGTATTGTGTTCGTGTGTATTTAAGTTAAATTATTAAATGGTGTTTTCAGTCTGTACCATTTATTGCTCACATACATTTAGGGAACTCAGTGCTCATTGTATCATAAATGTTTTTTTACAAGAAAGGCTATCCTGAACTCCAACCTTGTGATAATACGATAACAAGTAGTATGCACATTAATTCATTATATGCATTACTAACAAACTTCGCATACAAACTGTTGATGTGTTATATCCATAACAGAAATCTTGGAAAATATTTAATTAGGGTAATTTCCTGGTTTAATTATCTCTGGGAATAAAAAATGACACTTGGTCAAGGTGAAATCTTTGGAGCTATATACATTATATTATCTGAAATAAATTGTATGTAGAGAAACCAACTCTGATATGAGATTTCACCTTGACTGTTAGCAACTTTGAAACCTAAACTATATCTTCAAATCTCCTCTCTTTCTGCAATAATCAACATTTTGAGTTTCCCCATAGCACTTAATCATAGTTACTTCATTTTACATAATAATTCCAGCCTGAAAAATGAACATGCTTCCTAATCAACTATACTAAACCTATCGTGTGACCCTCGTGATGTGTAAAATGATGCCGGAATTTAATTACTGTAATCTGTCTTGTTTAATTATGAAAAAGTAAAGTGTCTCCCAGTGGTAGGGTTATTTTTCTAAAGGAAGCGTTTCAAGCAAATTCTAGACATTAATCAAAACAAAGGACTCCACAAAGATGCATTAATGGATTGAACAATTGATCCAATAAAACATGGTGGGTGGAATACTTATAGACATAGAGGCCACAATTGGAGAGTTTGTCAAAAAATGAACTATACAATAACTAGTTATTTACCAGTTATAACAGGATCCAATGGATGGAAACTGAAGTAGTATAACAAGATCCAATGACTGGAAGTTGAAGCTAGACAAATTCATACAGAAAATAAGGCACACAGTTTTAGCAGTGAGTGTACTTAGCCATTGGAACAACTTACCTAGGGTAGTGATGGATTCTCCATTACCGCAATCTATAAATCAAAAGCAGATTTTTTTTTCTAAAAGATATGCTCTAGCTCAAACAGTAATTCATTCATGGAAATCCCATGGCCTGTGTTACAAAGGACAACAGACTAGATTACCACAATGGTCCCTTCTGGCTTTATAATCTACAAATCAGTTATGACTATGAAAGAACGGATCTGAACAATTGACAGTTACATTTTAGAAGTCAATTGAAAGTACTAGCCTATGCAAAGTTCTATATACACCTCTACCCCGATATAACGGGACCCGATATAACACAAATTTAAAGCAGCGCTCCGGGGGCGGGGGCTGCGCTATACTGCGTTATATCCACTCAGGTGGATCAAAGCAAGTTTAATATAACGTAGTTTCACCTAGAACGTGGTAAGATTTTTTGGCTCCCAAGGACAGCGTTATATTGGTGTAGAGGTGTATTATTAATGGTTGATGGTTGTTCATTTTCCTGTTTTACTTCCTTACCTTTTTCTTTGGACCAAATGCTCCCACTCTTAATCATGCTGAATAATAACCAACTCCATTAGTTGTTGCATTGAGTGGCACTACTCAAGGAGTAATTTTCTACCTAAGAATCTAGCCCTATATTTGCTATGCTGTTACTTATTTTGTTCTGGAAACACTTCAAATATCTTATTTTTTATATATATATGGTCAAAGAATTAAAAGCTAGCTTTGAAAAAAAAAGACTTTTTTATTCTGAAATTTAAAGAAAAAAATTACCTGAGGGGAAAAAAGGCAAATTTTCAATGAAAACACTGTTGAAAAACATGTTGACCAGCATAGTACATGCAAAGTTACTTATGTCACTTTATACTATTCAGCTGAGGAATGTTAAGTTTGCGCTTAATCCTGCAATGTGCTGAATGCTTCATTGGAGATGGTGAACCCCTTCCAGCTCTGCTAAAGCCACTGAGAAGTGAGAGGAGTTCCGTACCTCACATGAGATCATTATCAAAGAGGATATTATAAATGTTTCTAAACACTCTTTCAACACAATTTAAACCCATATTTTATTTTGATTTTGTTTCCTTCAAGAGATTCAGTTTAAGAGACACCATGATATTTTTGTAGCTAAGGAGAAGCATCTGCCTTGTATTTAGAAGAACGCCTCAAAATTTAAGTTGTTATAAGGAAACTGTGTGTATAGCATATGAAGGACTAATAATCAAACAGAGTACTTGTTGGAGTGATGGGATGAGCGCCAGTAAGCTTATCAGCATGTGTGTAGGTTGTTTTATTCTTTTTAATGTTTTCTCTATAATGCTTTCACCTTAAGAATAAATGTTCTTGCTGCTAAAGGACTGTGTGGTAACTTATAATGGTGTTAATTACATTGCGTACCATCTCTGAAGAGAAGGTAAAACAGGCCTGTTTAGGCAGTCTGTCTTTTGCTGGGATATCACAACATAGTCAGAAACTGTGCAGCCTGGAAATGCCCTAATCAGGAGGGAGAAAGATACAGGTCTCCACCCAAGAGAGGTGGCGGCGGAGGAGCGTGGACCCTAGAGTGGGTGCCCTTACTGGACCATAGAGGTATACAGGTGCAGTTATAATGAACTGTGACAACTTAATTTAAGCATTTTGTCAATTGCTTTGCCGGATCTTGCCATAGCGCTTAGCACTTTGTAAGGACTGAGCCATAATTGCTGCATATAACATTTCATTCTCTCGGTTGCTCTCTAATTATTTTTTCACGTTCTCTCTGTATATTTCTTCTCCACTTTGATGTTCACCCTATTTTTCACCCTATTCCCCACTTTTTCATCATCTCTTCTAAATTATATGTGAAAGTACATGTTCTAGTCACACTTTGGAACCCACCATGTTCACACACCAGGTTCAGCATTAGGCAAAATAAATTTAGCTCAGATCAAATTATCCCAAACTACTTACATTAATTTTTAAAGCTTTAACATATTTCTATTTATATTATTTTTGATAAAACCATTTGTTACAATGCCTATGTTTGGGGCCCAAGTCCCTGATTCATCAAAGAATTTAAGCATGTACTTAACTTTAAGCATTTAAGTTCCATTGAATTAAATGCACTGGTTCAAGTGCTTCGCTGAATGAACATAAGCACATTCCTAGAGAGAAACACGTGCCTAAAGTGAAAGCATGTGATTAAGTGCTCTGAAGAATCAGGGCCCACCCACTTTTCAGGTGTCTCTTTTAACCTAGAAACATTAGAAATGGACTTTAGTGAAATTATTTTTAACAACCTTGCCAATGTGTTTCCAATATGTTTCTTGTGAATTAACATCACATTTTTTTCTGTGTGTGTGTTTAAATCTGAAGAACCTTTACTATGCTGTTACTAGCAGGTTGAATCTGAACGCAGGCCCTAGATATTAGTTGGAAACATATTAGTTGCCTCAGTTTTCCATGTTAAAAATACTCCCCCTTCTCCCGCACCCGCTCCCGTGAGTGTAATTGTAAGCTCATCATATATATTTAATATGTACTTAGCGGACTCACTGAAAAATGATAAAATTTGTCTCCATCTATTAAGGCTACTCAAGCATTTTTTATAACTGGAATGAGGCCATAGGATGAAACAGGACTTTAATCTCATGTGAAACTCAAAACTGAATCAAGTCTTTTGTTTTGATCATGAACTGAGAAGAGTTAATACTCCATAGTTTCAAGAAAACTCATATGCTATTGCAGCCATACTCACCACTTTGCAATCTTTCCTTTGCTGATAAAACTTGTCTAGGTCACTCAATTGTCTCAGCATCCTTGCCAGTAAAATTCCTGATGGAAAGCATTAAGAGCATTTTAACATTTAGAGAAGGCTTTAGCAGCAAAGTACCTATAACTGGGATATGCATTTTATTTCTGCAAATCAGTTATGTGTAATATGAGTGAATATAATGAATTTGCATTAATTCCATTGGCCCTCCCTTACATTAATGAAAACAACAGAAAATATCACTGACATAATTTTCTACATCATGTCTGATTGTTCTTTGGCTCTTAAAGTGTTTCTCTCCCCCCCCCCTTTTTAATACTCATTCAGATTCTCAATCAAGTAGTATTGCTCTTCATTTACGCTGGTTAATCAGCAGATTTTTACAGTTTAGACTACCATGCATAATACAGCAGGCTAGATACTTACCATATCACTAGTAAAAGCCTGTACTATGAGTTTAATCATGTATTTAATTGCCAGGCTTAATTTGAAAATAATTGTTCACAGCAATTAAGTAAATGCCCCAATTTCATTAACAGACTTCCTAATTAGGACCTACAATATAAAAGTGCTAATGTTGCTCCATTAGGTTTGATTTACTGTACCAAATACTACTTTTTATTATCCTTTCAATCCTTTCACTTTTATCCTACACTAGCGTATTGGGATTAATAATTGGTACTGGATTAATGATAAATGTCCTGGGGAAATTTAGGTTGATTTAATAATAGGGAAATTTTATGTTAATTTTTAATGTTAAATGTAGACCGTGTCTTCAAAAATCTGAGACGTATTTAGTTACCATGGTTTTAAACAATTTGGCTTGAATTACAGGAAAACAGGTTTTCCAAAACTGAATATGTTCTTTCACATATGGTATCCAATTGTAATTCAAGAAATTGGAGTGAGACAGAAAATGCTGCTCCTCTAGTAAGTATGACATTTACTATGAGATATAGTCATATATATGAGATATAGTGATAATGCCAATATTAATCCATATGATAAGGAATTGTCAACTGTCTGAGCCATTGTTTCCTGTGGAACATATAGGGGTCCTTTCACTGGTCTACCACTGTAATACAACAGTCTGCTAGAAGAAACTACTTCTCTTTTTTATCAAAGTGTTCCAGTCTTTCAATGGTAATACAATTGATAAAAAAGTGTAATGCTTGTATGAACGGTAGTCATAGTAAGATAATGGCGATGATGATGATAATGAAAACAGAAAAATCCAGTTCCTTAAAATGCTTTGCGTGAAAGAAGAAAATGTTGTAAGTAGTTCTGTACCCTTCTGTGGCTGTACTGAATGTGACTTACCTGCCAGCATTGGCATTCATGAGTATAGAGCATTAGATTAATTTCTGCACATAGTTATTTCAGCATTTCGCACCTCCATTATAGCATGAAGGAGAGAAAAGAAAATCCAGAGAAGAAGGAAAATATAAAAAGAGAGCACTGAGGAGAAAAGTAACAACAAAAGGTTAAAAAAAGAAACCCCACCCGTTTCTTAATTAGCTGTGAAGTTGCTCTCAAATACATTTAGGTCTTCTTAACCCAAATATAAACTGACTTAGTTAACAAATGGATCAGCAGAAAAAGTATACAGACATTGTATATGACATAAAAGCATGTCATTTTATGCTTTAAATTATTAGTAAATATTATAGCTCTACTGATACTAAAGAAATTATATTCATAATATAAGTAAATATTTATAATAATTATGTCGAATTTTCTGGTGTTAGAATGCAACTACCTCATCCATCTAAGCACATGTATACAGATACAGTAAAAATTAACACAATAAATTATCAAATAATAGACTCACAGATAAGAACATAAAAAATAGTCCTACTGGGTCAGACCAGTGGTCTGTTCAGCCCCACATATTTTTTCTTCCCACAGTGGCTGGTACTAAATGCTTCCGAGATTGTTTCTCTCTGCTCCAGGTTAATGTTCTCCTTCCCTGAGACTTTCATCCTCCTCAACAGCAAAGAGGCTGTCTGACTGAGGATGGGACTGTTCTACTCTGTCCCTGAAAGTCTCATTTATGTAGCTCTCTATCTCCCTCAGCTCTTCTAGTTTAGCCACTCTGGTCTCAAGAGCCTGTACTTGGTCTCTGAGGGCCATGAGTTGCTTGTACCCAATGCACACACATGCCACCTGTCCACATGGCAGATAATCATACATGTTCATTCAGTGCAATAAACTGGATAGCCTTCAGTTTGCTGCTTGACATCTGCATGCATTATTTTTACTCTTTCACATTTTTTTGTTTGTTCTTTGGTTTTGGTTTGGAGGATGGAGGTTATCGGCCTAAGTTTAGAGTATGTGTATTAGGTGTATCTGGCTCTTACATTCTCTCTCTAAACTCCCTCATAAAGCTCCCTTGCTCATTAGCTCCTCTTGTCACTTAGGAGCTGACTTTTTAACCCACCTGTTGTCCCTGAGTTAGCCCCACCTCCTTGTCAAGGAATCCTAAAGGATTAGAGATCAAAGGATAGCAGGCTAGAGCCTCATAAGGAAACTCTCAGCCTTGCTTAGCAGGCTGGTAGGCTCAGGTTATAAAGAATATAAATGTACCATCCTCCATCCAATCAATCACAACAAAGCCTGATTACATAGGAGAGTTCTACATCCTACCCTGAACTTGGGTTCTATATAATCATAAGGCAAGCACATTTCATTGCTGTGAATCCTCTACTGAAAATGTTCTGCTTCCAGCCCGCAGGTATTAAAATGTTTGCTGTTGGCTCTAGCTCATTAATTACTACAAGTGTTATGACAGTTCATGGGAGACAGATGATCTACAGGTTGCCAGGATTCAAAGCATACAGGGTTTTAATGTTCAATACATTAATCTTGAATTATACATGGAAGTAAATAGCAATAATTAAGAAATAAATTGGGTTAATACTACGCCTGGTCAAATAGTACAAATATTGAGGCAAGAACATTTTTGCTAATAAGAATTTGGTTCCCTGAGATTCAGGGAGCCACTCAGATCACATAATTTAAAAATATCTATAACAGAGAGGAAGAGGAGGGGGATGCAAAGATCTTACATATATTTTAAGGCCAAAAAGGATCATGATGGTGATCTAATCTGATCTCCTGCATGTGCATGTCATGAAACTTCACCAAATGATCCATCCATCAGACCCATAACTTCCAGGGGAGCTAGAGTATATCTTTTGGAAAGACATCCAATCTTGAGTTAGAGAATTCAAGTGATGCAGAATCCACTACATCCCTAGGTGATCTTCATTTTAATGAATTTGCAAAGCACTCAGAAACCACAGTAACATCATAGTATAAGAACATGTCACTCATTATTTTCAACTATTTATACAACTACTGGTCACTCAGAAAATTGTTCCAGTTTGATCATTAGCATTAATGAATTAATCTGGAAGTTGACATAATGTGGACCCCAGAACTGGACATGATATTCCAGTAACGGTCTCACTAATGCCACATACAGAGCTAATATCATCTCTATATTCCTACTTGATATTGCACTGCTTATGCATCCTAGGATCATGTTCACCCTCTTAGCTACTGAATCACAATGGAAGCTCATGTTCAGTTGGTTATTTATCAGTGTGCTTAAGTCCTGCATTTCAGGATACAATCTCCTTTTTATAAGCATGACCTACATTACTTGTTTCTAGTACAAACTTGCATTTGGATGTATTAAAACACATGCTGGTCAAATAAGCCCACTTTATTAAGCTATCTACATAGGTCTGTATAAATGATCTGTCCCCATTTTTATCTACAACCCTGCCAATTTTTGTGCCATTTGTAAAGTTTAATGGCAACAATTATATATTTTCTTTCAGAGCACTGATATTAATAGCATAGGACTGAGAACAGTGCCCCAGAAGATCACTCTGGATTGGATGATGATTCTCCATTTATAATTACTTTTTGAGATCTATCAGTTATCCATTTTAAATCCATTTAATATCATCTACATTCATTTTAATAGTGATCTTTTTAATCAGACTGCCATGCAGGACTAAGTCAAATGCCTTTTGTAAGTCTAAGTATATTACATCAATATAGTTACCTTTATCAATCAAATTTATAATCTCATCAAAATATGTCAAATTTGTTTGGCAGGGCTTAATTTCCATAAAACCATGGATTGACATTAATGTTGCTACCATCCTTTAATTCTTTACTAATTGCATCCTGTATAAGCCTACGATTTTGCCTGGGATCAATGTCATGCTAACCACAGCCTATAGTTACCCAAGTCATCCTATTAACTTTTAAAAAATATTGTTACAGCATTAGCTTTTTTTCAGAGTCTGGAAATTATGGCCCCAATTCAGCAAAGCAATTAAGTCTGTCCTTAGAAATCACTCCCTTCTCAGAAAAGTATTTAAGAATGGGCTTCAGTGCTTTGCTATATCAGGACCATAGTACAGGGAGTCCTCGGACTTACGATGCCCAATTTATGTCGCACAACACTTACGATGCTTTTCAATTGACTGCCCATTTCACCCCCTACAATGCTTGTTTTGCCCTTATGTTGCTTGATTTGCACAAAGTTCACTTGAAATCACTTCCTGGTTGCTGTATACTGGTATGGAGTTGGAATGGGTTGCTTCTAACTGGCTTTGAGGCAGCAGGGTGTCTTGTTTTTGATTGGCTGAGCCCGGGGCCAGGAGCCAATAAGAAAGCTTGAACAGTGGTTGGCTGAGGTTCAGCATGTGTGCCATTCTCCCTGGCTTTCTGAGCCTTCATTGCCAGGATTCTGAGCAGCATGTGTGAGTTTATATGTTTATTTGAATGCTGTTTACAAAATACAGTGCACAATAAATACATTGATGTTGCAACATTAGTCATCTATAATTCATTTAGTACAAAAATATGGGTTATTGTGGTGAAAATAGTGTGTCAAGCCTTGGTTCAGGAACCAATCCCCCCTTCATACCATTGATTACTATGGGAAAAGCGGTTTCAACTTACAATGTAATTCTGAGGAATGAACTGTGTCGTAAGTCCGAGGGCTCCCTGTATTTGACAAATATTTAAGAATAAATGAATACATCCAAAGAAAATGAGAATTCATTTTTGAATAATTCCATAAACATGCAAGGAATAAATTCAGACCAATTAATATTCATAACACATAGTTCAACCAGATGTAGTTACAAATCTCCAGAAGTACTAAACCTAAACTAGTTTTGAAATTGTGACTAAAAGGTAAAAAGGTCCACTTCTCATTACACTTTTCCCTATCCTTCTCCATTGTACATTATCTTTCTGTTCATCTGCTCTATTACCTCCTATACTTTTGAGCAGTTTGACATTCCCAGTGGTTCAATGGCTGGAAATTTGGCTTTTATTTTTCACATTCACTCTTTGTTAATAAGTTTTTTGGGTGATTTAAGGTGTGCAGTGAAGAGTAAGACTAACAGCTCCATGGCAGCACATGAGCGAAAGGTTAGGTCTATGAAGGGACCTATGAACAACTCGTTTTACATCTGGATTTGAATGTCTGAAAACCTTAGGGATGTATAAAAAATCTGAACTTATCAAGAGACAAAATTTTCCCTCCATTTTTATAACTGTTTCTCCAACTATGCTACTTCAACTCAAGCTATAATCAATGCAAAGAAGTGGGCATGTCACCTTTGTGACAAGATGAATTATCATTTTAAAGTGATGTGAAAATGGGAAACAGTTTCAGGTTCATATGTAGGAATACAAAGCCCACTGAGATTTTTGCTAATGGAAACATTCTGAATTTCATTAGAATGCCATCCTTGCTTCACGATATTTTAAATCTGTCTGAATTAGGTTTGACCAAATTTATCCCAAATATCTTCATGAGTTTGACAGACCTTTCCTCTCCAGGGTTATTGTGCTAGGTGACTGCTGTTGACTGAACAGT